TACAATTCATCTTTTGATTTCCTGGTTGCTGGTACCAAGAGTGTTGTTGGGTAGCCAAGCAAGCTGAAGGTGGTTGTTATTAATCAGAATCAACTTGATGATAGTGGGTAAGCAAGATTTCTGGTGGAACCTCGGCTAAGCTTTGCATTTCAAAGTCAGTGGTTCAGACTCATTTGTCATGTCACAGGAGAAAAGACCTGTCAATCAGTTTCTGTTGGATTATAGTTTTACAGGATTACAGTTGCCATGAAGTCAATTCAGAATCATAATGACCCTAGAGGACAGAGGAGAACTGCTTCAAAGGGTTTCCAAGGTTGCAATCCTTACAGAAGCAGATTGCCATATCTTTCTTCAGTGGAGCAGCTGGTGGGTTTGAACAGCCAATATTTCAATAAGCAGCTGAGCTCTTAAATACTATGCTATCAGAATTCCTTCCATAAAGATTACAGGCTAGGAAATCCTATGGGATGGTTCTATTCTGTCCTATAGGGTTGCTATGCTGCAGAATTGACTTGATGGCATGCAATAATGACAGGTAGATAACAACCTCAGAGAGGTCCTACTTTCACTTCCAAAACAGGTCACCAAATCCAGAATCAACTCAATGGCAATCAGCAAGAACAGCCTGCACTCCACTGGAGCCCCTAGGGAGTTCACAAGGTTTACACATTCAATAGCTAACCAAAAGGATGGGCATGCCAGTTTACCCAGAAATGGCTTGTCTGAAATGCCTGGCAATCTACTTCAGAAAAGACTGGTTGCTTTTTTGTTGTTGTTGTTGTTATTCTTTGCCAGCATCCAAGATGTCAAAGAAAAGACTTGGTGGGTCCTCTGGTGCAAAATTTCAGATTTCCCTGGGTTTTCTGGTAGGAGCAGAGATCAACTGTGCATACAACACAGAAACCAAAAATCTATACATCATCCCTGTGAAAGGGATCAAGGGATGACTTAACAGACTTCCTGCTGCTGGTGTGGGTGACAAGGTGATGGGCACTGCCAAGAAAGGTAAGTCAGAGCTCTGAAAGAAGGTATCTCCAGCAGTGGTAACACAACAATCAAAGTCATACAGGAGAACAGATGGAGTGTTTCTTTACTTTGAAGATAATATAATGCAAAAGTAAACAACAAAGGTGAAATGAAAGGTTCTGTCATCACTGGACCAGTTGCAAAGAGCAGTCTTGTGGCTCAGGATTGCATCCAATCCTGGCAGCATCGCATGATTTACCAATGTATTTGTTAAAAAAACCAACCAACCAACCAACCAACCAAAAAAACTTCACCCAATTAAAAAATATTTGCTACCCAAAAAGACCCCCAAAACACAAACTGTTGTTTGTACAACACCTCTGAACACTGCTCTGTCCTGAGCCAGTCTCATTGTCTCCACCATACCTACTCCTATTACCCCAGTTATTGTGTCAATCCATCTCATCTTGGGTCTTCCTTTCCTGCGTTATCCCTCCACCTTTCCAAGCATGATCCCTCCTGTCCATGTGCCCAAAGTAGGTGAGACAGACCTTCAAAATCCTAGCCTCCAACGAGAAACTTGGTTTTACCCTCCTCTCCAAGTGGAGATCCTATTCTCCATGGTATGTTTAATACTCTTCTTCAGCACCACAACTAAAAGGCATCAATTCTTCTTAGTCATTATCCTGCTCTCTGATGCACAGCAAGTGATTGTGAAGACTATGGTCTGGATCAGGCACATTTTAGTCTCTAGATTGACATCATTGCTCTTTAGCGCATTAGAGAGGTCCCTGACAGCAGTCTTCCCCAATGCAATTCATCTTTTGATTTCCTGACTGCTGGTGCCAAGGGTGTTGATTGTGGAGCTGAGCAAGCTGTAATTGTTAACAATCTCAGTCACTTCTCCATTCATCATGATGCGGCCATTTGGCTCAGTGGTGAAAATCTTTGTCACCTAGTGGCAAGTAGCTACACTGCAATCCCAAAGACACGTGGTTTGAGGCCACCAGCTGCTCCACAGGAGAAGGATGGGCAATATCCTCCCATGCGCTTAACTGTCTCTGAAAATCTTTTGAAAGATCAGCTATGGATTAGTTTCTTCTTTATAGTACACAATAACAACTGGGGAAAAAAATTAGTTGTTGAAAATCCACAGAGCATGGTCTATCCTGAAATGTGTGGAATTGTGGTGAATTGTAATTAACCTGAAGGCAACTGGTATTAGTGTGCACCCAGGATCCCCTAAGGACTTTACGTTCTACCCCTTTATTGACAGCAATGGGACTTTTTGTTTAGTAACCTGAAAGGTTACATTTGCCATCCCCATTTCAAAGAGGAGAAAACTGAGGCCCAAAGAGATCCAGCAACCTGGTCAAATTCACACCAGGAGGGATGAGCAGGGCAGGAATACAAAATTAAGGAGGCAGATTTCAGATCTGTGGCCCATACTTGGTGCAGGATTAGTCTGTTCCCAGGCAGTGAAACTCTAAAGCCGGCTCCAGCTGCCCGAAACTCAACCGCAGAGAGCTGGCTCACAGCCCCTTTGCTGGCTCCCTTCTCTCTTCGCTTGGCCCCACCCTACCACCCCCATTTCCCTCCCTGGCCCAGGGGCCCTGCTCCTTCCCCAAACCTGCTCTGCCACAATTCCTTCCAAATTCCCTCATCTGTAAAATGGGGATAATGATAGGGCCTGTCTCAGAAGGGGCCAGTGGAGCTAAGAGGAGATGCTCAGGGTGAAGTGCTTGGAACCCAGCACACAGCTTTCAAGAAATATTAGCAATCATCACCATCATCATCGCTTCAATAGTGTCTCCAAAATCCTGTGAAATAATGACAAAAATATAATGTAGTATTTTCTCTATCTGATGGCTAAGGAACCTGAGGTTAAGAGAGGTGGCAACGCTGTCTGTTTGGGGGAAGAGTGTTTACTAACTTGGAAGCAGACTTGAATTTGAGTCTTCTGATTTTAGATCTCACTAACCTCTGCCACTCTCCATGGGGAAGATAAAGCATATAACCAATATTTATTATCCACTTTCTGCATGCCAAACCAAGCCCTAGATACTAAGGAACATCCAAAGAAGGATATGCTCTGGACCCTTCAGAAAGCGTGGAATCTAACTGATAAACAAGGTATGAAAACAAAGCCTGACAGCAGGAAGCAGATGCAGATGACACAACTTTGCCTGCTGAAAGTGAAAAGGACTTGAAGCACTTACTGAAATAAGATCAAAAGGCTTCAGTACAGATCAACATAAAGACAACAAAAATCTTCTCGGGACTAACAGAAAATCAAACTGGACCAACAGGCAACATCATGATCTTTTTTGCTTGCTCTTTGTTGTCAAATCAGAACTGAATCAAAGCTGACCCACCAGTGAGTTTCTATGTCTGCAAACCTCACAGGAGATGATCCATCTTTCTCTTACTGGGCAGCTGGTGGATTTAAATCACCAGAGAGGCCAAGGATTCTGGTTAGTTAGCAAAACAGCCCCCTAGGAACCATGCCACCAGAGCTGACTGTACAACATCACGATAGATGGAGAAAAGACTGAAGTTATCAACAATTTTAACTTGGACCCGTAACCAACACCTATGGTAGCAGAAATCAAGTAACTAAAAGATGTATTGCATTGGGCAAGTCTGTTACTAAAGACCTCTTTAAAGTGCTAAGGAGTAAGGATGTCAGTTTAAAAACTAAGGTGCACCTGACACCAACTATGTTATTTTTAATTGCTTTATATGCCTTTCAAAGTTGGACCATAAATAAGGATGACCAAAGAAGAATTGAACTTTTGAATTGTTGCATTGGAAAAGAATACTCACTGGACTGGTAAAAGAAAAAACAAATGTGTTTTGTAAGAAGTTAATCTGGAGTGCTTCTAAAAGCAAAGATAGTGAAACTTCATCTCAAGTGCTATGGGCACATGAAGAAGGATATCATGTTTGAAAAGGTAGGTCATAAGAGGAAGATGTTTTGGAATGGATTGACCGAGTGACTACGACAATGAATTTAGGCACAGCAGAGGTTAAGAGGGTGGCTTAACCAATGTTCCACCATGTCTCCTCAACTCTTGGTTATCTACTACCAACAAGTTGATTCTGACTCAGAGAAATCCTGTAGGACAGAACAGAACTCCCATAAGGATTCCAAGGCTTCAAAGCTTTTTATGGAAACAAAATTTCATCTTTCACCTGCAGAGCAGTTGGTGTGTTTATTTATTTAATAGACAATACCTAACAACAACAAAACTAGAATGCCAATCAACAAAGGTCTCACGGTCGAAGGAATGCATTGTTGGCTCTAGACCCAGGTTAAGACTCAGGTAAAAAACTTCCTCCCACATTTGGGTCATTCCTGGGAGGATGTTGTAGGGAGCAATCTTCCCTGCTACTAGAAATGGGCAATAGCAGGTGCGGGTCCCCTTTAAGCAGCAAAGCTCTTGTTGTAGTCTCCGCCTCCAGGATGGGTCCTTTCCGGGGGGTGGAGCCTGTCCTTGTTGCAGCAACCAATCGAAGCACGGCATTTTCCGCGGGAGATCCAAATTTCGCGGCACGCAGTTTGGCGCTAAAAAAAAAAGGGGAGAAAAAAAGAAGCAGAGAAAGGCTTTTGGACTAAAGGGCGAGCTGGAAGAGAGACGGTGCGATCAGGCCTCTGTTCGATCTGAGCGCTTAAAGTTTCTGCTGAGCTGCAGGAGCTCCAGAGTACCTTCCCCTGAGCTGGCTGGCCCTTAGGCACTGAGGTCTCGGGGGTGCGGGGCTGTCCTAGGTCGTGGCCGCCCTCGGGGCGGGGCAGCCCCTATCCGTATAGCCACTGCCGCTGCCGGGTGATCTCCAAGCGGCGATCTCCAAGCGCTGCTTAGCTCGGCTGTGGGCCAGGAGGGGAGGGTCCGGCCTTGCCCCGCAGGCGTCCATTGGTGGCCTCCCCCTGCCTCCGCGCCATGCTAAGGGCCGTATAAGTCCCTGCTGGCCCCTGAGCCCACAGGTGCCGGGTGCGCCAGGCTCTGGTGTGGGGAGGGGGTGCTACGCTCGCCATGCTGCGAGGACCCCGAGCCCTGGCTCCGGCCTCCGCACAGCCCCATCCGGCCTCTGCACAGCCCCAAAAGGGGCTGCCCGCGATGAGCCCATCTGAGCTATGGCCGTCGGGCCTTGGCAGCCCCCAGCTCTGCGCCACCACTACTACCTACTACACCACGCTGTACCCTCAGACGGTGCCCCCCACTGGGGCGCCGGGCACCTGCCTCGACGCCACCCCTCACGGACCAGAGGGCCAAGCTGTGCGAGTGCCTGCAGGCCGGCTGCCGGTAATGCTTGGGGACCCCTATCCCTTCACCCTGTCCTTGTCTGGATTTAGGGAGGGAAGAGTTCTTGGGACCCAGAGATTTAGGAGGGGGATGTTTGGCTTTCAGCCTCCAGAATGACCCACAGCTCCAAATAGCCAAGCTGAAGGCCTCATCATTCCCAAACTTCAAGTGACATAGTCCCCACTGGAGTGGAGTTGGATGAGCACTGGATTGCCAGTCGGGAAAGCCAGCTTACTTCCTCCAGTGTGACCTTGGGGAAAACCATTGAGTCAACATTTCTGGCATTCATTCATTCATTCATTCATTCATTCGTCTGGCCCAGAAATAAGAGAGGTATCTGCTGTTGTCCCAAGCATAGGGCTTGGTTTGGGAACACCCTAGAGATTTTAAGACACAGGGTAGATCTGGTGAGTCTCCTCGGTCTAGCTTGTCTTGGACACACTCCAAATTGTCCATTCATCCAATTCCTTTCCAAGTATGGGCCCTAGGTCCTTACCCAGGCCTACTCTTCTTTTCCAGACTGCCAGTAGCAGGTGCAAATCAGAGGAAGCCCTTGGGGTTTCCATCGCAGAGATTGGATATCCCCTCCTCAAGCCCCAAGACTGTTGCCAAGGGAGGCCCAGAATGTGGTGGCTCCAAGCTGCCTGCCGACCTACCTTGTCACAGGGCCTGTTTTGTGGGAGTGAAATTCCTAGAGCCCATGGGAACTGAAAGGAGTGCAGGTTGGGGGAAGGGTGGGAAAGCCCTGGGGGGCAGGTGGTAGTTGAGAAGCCCAGTTTTGGGTCCTGACTGTGCCATTCATTTGTGCCCTCAGTTTCCTCATCAGGAAAATGTGTGTGTGCAGGGGACAGCTGTGGGGCTAGTTCAGCTCTGATCACTTTGAGCCTGGGGCCCTGAGCTTTGTAAGCAGGCGAGGGAGGGTAGATGGGCGTTTGGCTGGTTTAGCCAGGAGTGTTCATAAGGCAGGTGGAGGAATAAGAACTCTCCCTTCTTCAGAAGGTCACACTTGTGTTGGTCAGCAGGCACAAGCCCCCTGTAACCATCTCTAGGTGCAGGCAGAGCCCCCCATTCTTGCTGTCAGATTCATGCTTTGGCCTTGCCCAGCATAGTCTTCTGCACATTATTTCCACCTATGAGAGAGGAGGAAGGAGTGAGTGAGCTATTATCCCCATTTTACAAATCAAGCAAAATAAGAGCTAATGGGGACTTTCCTGCATTCAGCATTTTGTTGCTTAAACCTCTTTTGTATTCTGTGAAGTAGATATTCTGTGTGAGTAGTTCCATGTTCTAGGGGGAAACAGGCCCAGAAAAGGCATGTGACCTGCCCAAAGCCACACAGGAGGATGGAGTGGAGTCAGGCCCAGGCCCAAGTTCTCTTGACTCACAAGGCAGATGATAGGCAGTTTCTTCTCTGTGCAACCTTGACTTAGCCCTGGATTGTCCAATCTAGCTGAGAGTTGGGCCTCCTGCCCTCCCCTCAGGAAGGGGCTCAAGGGTGGGGCCCAGTCTCCTCTGGCCAGCTGCTTTCTGACACTCAGGCAGAGTTTCAGTAACAGCTGTGGTTTTGAACTGCTTCCCTCCCTGAGGAGCCCCAGTGCATCTGTCTGCTCATCCCTCCCAGAGGGGCTCAGTGATCTCAGCAAGAATGGCTCTTTTAGTAAATGCTTGGAGTGTGCCAGGCACTGCTTAGCACTCGTCACATTCATTGTCATGGTCAAGATGTTTGGGATAAGGCTGGCATGTTGTAGATGCAGAAACAGCAGAGAAGTAAAGTCACTTGCCCAGGTCACAAGCCACGAAGGAAGGCAGCCTCCTTGCACCAGACCACCCTAAAGGTGCAGCCACTGGGACCTGAGCACCTCTACCAAGCCCAGAACCCCAGCTTCTTAGCAGGCCTTGGCCCTTGCTTACTCATTTGACAAGGGTGTGACCTGGAGTTGCTCCAAACCTAACCCTAGGTGTGGCCAATGGTTTGTGGCCAGACTGTGAAGTGCCGGTGAGCAGGATTTCTCAGACTAAACCTATTGCTTTCAAGTCAATTCAGTCTCACAGCTATTCTGTAGGCTTCTAAGGCTGAGAATCTTTGCAAGTGTACAGGCACATCTTTCTCCAGCATAGAAGCTGGTGGGTTTGAATCCCTAACCTTTCAATTGCTAGCCAAATGCTAAACCACTAGACCACCAGGGAAGGGAGCTGCTGTTGTTGAAAGAAATCTCAAGGGACAGCAAACAAGTTGAATGGCAGAGTGAAAAGCTGTCCCCAGACCTCCAAGTTCCTCTTCTAGTGCCCACTCTACCACCCCTGGGCGAAGCATCCCTTTTAAGCGTCTGCTCTGACTGGGCACATTGCCTTCACTCAGTGTCTTAACTGCAGGAACGTGTGATGATGGAGTGTACTGCATGATTCTCCCTTCCTTGTCATTTATCGGCGATTTCTGAGAACCAGAATGAAAAGAATAACAAACAGTCCCACAGAGCAGGTCACAAGACGGGATAGAGGCTCAGAGAGGCCCAGCAACAAATCCCAGGTGATGCTGGGATCTAGATTTCAGGAGGCTTCTGACTCCTAACTGCTCTGCCCCTCATTCTGGCTTAGGAGAGAGCTGGCTCCACTCCTTGTGTGGCCTTGGGCAAGTCACTTTCCTTCTTTGAGCCCCAGGATTTTTTTTTTTTTTTTGCCTGGTTATCTCTGTTTTTTCTGAGGCTGCCTGAACATTTGCCCTTCTCCCTGGGGCTTGGTAGGGTGGGGCTCAAATCCAAGCCAAGCCTTAAGATCTAGCCAAAGGGGTTGCCTGAGAGAGGGGCTGGGGCAGGCCCAGTAACCTCTGGGTGTGGCCATAGACCTTTGCTCTCCTTTGTATGGTCCCTGTCTTTCCAGCTCACCCTGAGCGTCTGTCCGTAGAGCATTAGTGACAGTTGCTCCCCTGCGCCCACACTTAATTTAGGCAGAAGGCTGTGCTGCACTGCTCACTGACTGAGAGATGGGTGGATTGTTCCCATTTTACAAAGCGGCTCAGGAGGGCAACTGCCTTGCCCTGCTCACCCAGGTAAGAAAGGGAGAGGTCTAGATGCTAATCTAGGTCAGACTCACTCCTCAGCCTCTCCTTGAGCCTCATTCTCCTGGGCTTGTTCTCTGCCTGCTCTGTTCTGTCCAAGGGCTGGACAGTACTTTTCCAGGGCAGTACCCACAGGGGCCAGAGGAGTGTCCTTGATGTGAGGCGCACTACTGCGTAGGATCCTAGGAGTACAGGATAAGGAGGAGGGGGAGCCTGAGAAGGGGAAAAGCTCAAGTACAGCTGTGTGTGTGTGTGTGTGTGTGTGTGAGAGAGAGAGAGAGAGAGAGAGAGAGGAAGAAAGAGAGAAAGAAAAATGTGATGTGGCAAGTGAACATGGGTAAGCCTTGGCTGAAATTTCAGCAAATTCTAGGGAGTATATGGGGATGGAGCCAGACATGTGTCTCTGCTCTTTGTATGACCATGGATGCATGATTTAACCAACCTCTCTGGGTCTCCACTTCTCATTTGCCAAGGGAGACAATTCTGATCCTGCAGTACTGTGGTGAGCTGGTAATGTATTTGCTGGGTCCCCTCTTCTTCTTCCCCACCGCCTTACAGCTTCCTGTTCTTCCTGATAGGTTGTCTCCTTTCCGGTAAAGCAGGTATGTAGGCTTGGGAAGATTGGGTTACTCTGACTCTGCTTGAGGTAGAACTCACTCTCATCCTGTCTTTGATGCTTCTTATGAGGCACGGAAATAAGAATCGATAGCCTTGAACTGATACAGGGCTTAAGAGTTCTCTAAGCCCTGATTTCATCAGCTCTAAAATGGAGCAACAGTGGGCTTGGTTATCATGATGGTCGTGCAAGGTAGGACAAGGTTCATAGGGTCTGGTCTCTAAGAGTCGTAGTCTATTTGATGACACCTAACAACAACACAGGACAACCTAGGGAGCTCTGGTGACTTAAGGAGTTGTGCTGCCAACTCAAATCCAGGTGGTTTGAATCCATTAGTTGCTCTGAGCAAGAAAGAAGGATAATCTCCTCCTGTGTGATTTACAGCCTGTGAAAACTCACTGAAGAGTCAGCTGTAAGTCGGTTCTGACTTGATGGTATGTACAAATGGTGTTGGAGAGATCTGATGAGGTGATAAGGTTAAGTGTAGGAACTTGGCTCATGGCATATGGAAGATTGAGGTGAATGGTAGGACCTTTCTCTAGGGACAGAATGGGGCCAGAACGAATCATCCTTCCTAGAAGAACCTAGGATCTTACCAGCTGGGAAAGTAGAACAGGAATATTCAAAATATGAATAGTGAAGGCTTTGGGTCATGGGTAGGCATGGAGGAGAGGAGCCTTTTCCACACATCTTAAGTCTGGGGAGCACAGGACTCTTTAGTAGCCCAAGAAGACTTCCTGGAAGAGACAGGCACGGGGAGGAGGATGAGCAGGAAGAGCTGCCCCTGGTCTCCACACCTGTCGGTCCAGCTGTGCTCAGCAGCATTTAGCAGTCCCAGTTCTGCCACCACCAATTAAAGTAAGCCTCAGTGTCTCAGCTGTGGGAGGGGCTTGCATGGGAAGGTTGTCAGGAAGTGGGCTCACTGACCCTCCCCCCAGAAGGGTGTGTCAAGAAAGAGGCCAAGATTGGGTTTTAGGGAAGGGATTCTGAACTTCCTGAGCGCTTACTGGGTTGTTGGGCCACAAGCTGAAAACTATAGATGTCCCCTCTTCGAATCCTCACAACAGGGTTTGGGGTAGGTATTCTCTGCTCGATTTCACAGAGTAAGAAACTGAGGCTCCTAGATGTGGAGCGTTTGCCTGTATTACACAGTGGCTCCAGGAAGAAGCCTGGGGCTCTAACCTGTGTCCCAGTGCCCTACTGCCCCAACTCTGCCCCGGTCCAGCCTTCACCAGGAGAGGCTGTTTCCGGCCCAATGCAGCTTCTTAGGCCTAATTGAGGCCGGGTGGCAGTGGGGTGGAGAGGAGCAGATGGGTCTGTGGTTTGATTTCCCCAGCAGGTGTTTCCCAAGCTTGGCGGGAGTAGGGGAGGGAGCTCAGCTGCTTGTCCTTAAGACGGGATGGATTCATTGTCTGCCCCTCGTGGCAAAGAGAGTCTATTCAGGAAAGGGCTGGAGCCCTGACGTGAGGGAGATGTTTGCACTGCTTCCCGACGTGGGTGCCTCGCTGGGGCATGGCACGCAGCCAGGAAGTCCCCTGGGTCTGGGCGGATGCCCAGCCCCGCCCTGATAAGGGCCAGCTGTGAGGCTGTGATGGGCACCCGGCGAGGCTGGGCCAGCTGCTCTTGTAGTGGGGGCTGATGTGGCTTAGGCTCCACCTCCTTCCTCTGTGCATCCTCCTCTGGGAGGGGTTGTGAAGAAGCTGCTTGAGGCCTGTTAAGGAGGAAGCCTGAGCCTTTGGCCAGGCTAGCTTTGATTGGATCTGGAATGCCCAGGACAGAAGAGGTGTTTGCCTCTCGGAAAACAGGTCTGCCTCCTCCTGAAATGTCTTCTCTTGGGTCTTGACACTTTTCAAGTACAGTTTTGTTTCACTCTGACTGGCTGTAAACTGAAGCACCTGGGAGGTGGTTGTTGATGACCCCAGATCAGGAAATGGCTAAAAGGAATTCATCTCACCCTCAGCCTCTCTTTCCATTCTTTCTCCAAGGCCAAGAGGAAGCTGGATCTCGAGGGAATCGGGCGGCCTACCGTTGCTGAATTCCGGACTCCCAAGGGGAAGTGCATCCAAGTGGATGGCCTCCCCAGCCCTAAAAGTAAGCAGCGCTAATGGAGCAGCTTAGGAGACTGGGGCTGGGGTGGAGCTGAGGGCAGCAGCCCTGCCCAAATCATCAGGGGTCATATTTATATCACACTTTCCGGTTTGCATAAGAGCTTCCTGTGCATTCTCTCACTGGATCCCATCGGGGAGTCTGAACAGCCTTCTTTTGCTGATGAGGTAACTTGAGATTCGAGAGCTTCCGTGGCACGCCCAAGGCCACAGAGCTCATGCACAGAACGGGGGACTAGAACCTGACATGTAAAGCTTGCCTTGCTCCTCCCACACCACACTATCTCACTTGTAATCGCAATGTAAAGACCCACATTTTATCTGAGGTTTTATTATTCACAAAAGGAGCCCAGGTGGTGCAATGGTTAGGTAGGTATTCTGCTGCCAACCAGAATGTTAGTGGTGTAAACCCACCAGCAGCTTTGTGGGAGAAATGATGTGGCAAACCACCTTATAAATAGTACAGCCTGGGAAGCCGTACCTGAGAGGGCTGCTATGAGTTGGGATTGACAGCACACACAGCACAATTTACAAAAGGTTCTCACACTGAGTCCAGTCTGACCTTTTCCAAAAGAGAGTATCCACCCCTAAGAGCATGTCTCCCTTTGTAGACAGAAAATGAAATAAGTAAAGGGAAGTGAAATTTGGATTCATCCAGCTCATACCACTTCAGAAGTCTTTAAGATCCATTCACAGGCTTCCTGGACCGTGCCTATCTAAAGCTAAGCTGGAGAGAACTTCTGCCTCTTAGTATTTGAGCTCACATCCTAGCCAGGGTAGGATTTTGACAGTTGTTTGGGAGGAAAGCTAGTTTCAGGAGTGATGCTGGTACAGACCTAAAGGCGATTGTATGTGGCTGGGTGGAAGCATGAATGTTAGAAATCTGAATGAAGGTAGAATTCTGTTCCAACCTGGCCAGTCTATGCTCTTCTTTGAGTCCTCGTTGTCTCCTGTAAAATGAGGCACAGATAGAGGAGGAATGATAAGAAAATTTCCTCCCCAGTTGATTGATAGAGGCTTCCCAGAGATCTGCCCTGAAGGGTCCTAACCTTCAGTGGGTTTGTGAACTCTTGTGCAGTAATCAATTGCTAATGCTTCCTGTGGAAGTAAAATATGACAAAGCAGCCCATGTTCCGAACATTTGCCATCTTTGTGTTAAAAGGATTTAAAAAGACCTCTTCCAGAGGAATCTGAAACTCTAGGACCCAGGGTTGAGAACTAGTTTGGCCATTAACTTGCTATCTGACTTGCAAGTTACATGGTTGTGCAAGTCTTGTGGTCTAAGAGGCTGTAGCTAGGATGTAATCTTGTGACATTTGCCTTATTGAGAAAGGGACCTTTTTCATGAACCTCCCTGCATTTGAAGCTATAGATTTGATTCCTCTCAGATAATCGGGCTACACTTGGAAAGAAAAAACAACTGTGTCTATAAAAATGTTCTGGAATTCCGGCTTATCATTTTTTCCCTATCTGAATGCCAAATTCCTTCCATATCACTGGCAGGATAAGGCAGTAGTTAAGAAGTGGGACTTTGGGGCCTGGATGAGGGGCAGTTAGTTAGTGCTTGGAAAAGGAGGTCAGCAAGGGAGCGGGAAGACCCTCAACAAGATGGATTGACAGTGATTGCACAGTGGGCTTGAGTAACTCAGAGACTGGGAGCATGCTGCAGGACAAGGCAGGGCTTCACTCTGTAGTACACAGGGTTGCTATCAGCTGGCGCCAACTCAGTGCATCCAATTACAAGCTGAACCAGCTAAGCAAGTTATTCAGTGTCCTGTGCTTTCTGTATTCTAGGATGACTGCATTGACCTTATAAGGATATTGTTGTTTTTGTGTCGTATAGCACTGAGTCGGAACCGGCTCATAGTACAGGGTTATTATAAAGATTGAGTTACTGTATAGAAGGTCAGAGACCAGCGTTCGGCACACAGTAAGCGTTTGTTTGTGGTTATGGTGCCCCTATCCTTAGGTGGTGAGTTGGGACACTTGACTTCCAGGCCTGACCCTAGCACCTGGCTAGGTCCGCTTAGGCATCAGTTTCCTGCCTATACAGTGTGGAGAACAACTGCTGCCCCACGGTGCTTCCTAATGTGCATTGTGCATCTTGCGTGCTCACGTGAAGGGCAGTGCTTAGTGAGTTCAGGGTGGCCCTCTTTGAACTGTGACTGAGCAAGCCCCCTTTTCTCTTCAGCCCCCAAATCTCCTGGGGAGAAGACACGATATGACACGTCACTGGGACTGCTCACAAAGAAGTTCATTTGCCTCCTGAGCGAGTCCAAGGATGGAGTCCTGGACCTGAACTGGGCTGCAGAGGTGCTGGAAGTCCAGAAGCGGCGTATCTATGACATCACCAACGTGCTGGAGGGCATCCAGCTTATTCGCAAGAAATCCAAGAACAACATCCAGTGGGTGTGAGTGCTGGGCATATGGGCGATGGCACTTATCCAATCGGTGCAAGGCCTCATCAATTATGCGCGGGGGGGGGGGGGAATACGTGTTAGGGGCGGGGCTGAGAGTATCATCCAATGGACAGAATACTGGGGGTGGAGCACAAATGTCCACGCCAGAGCGAGATCAGGTACAACTGAGAGCAGCAGAGAGCTCTAAAGACCTGTGGGTCTTATCGCTGGCCTCTCCATCTGATCCTAACATAAGAGCCTCCCCTTAGAGCTTAGCTGGAATCCTTCCCTGCACCGAAATAAGGGTATTCCAACCTCCTTTCTCTCCACTTCTAGTAGGTCTTGGAATGCCAACCTACAGCTACCAGCATGAGCCCTAAGAACGCAGGTGAAGGAGTCAGGACTGAAGTCTCTCCAGCTCTCTTCCATATGGGACACTAGAGCCAGATGAGCCCCTCAACATAGAGTTCAGGCCATAATTTGTTTTTTCCTGATAGCCTCACCCCAAGTCTCAATTTCTAGACCCTGACAATTCCCAGAGTGCTAGACACAACCACAGACTTACACAGCCTTGGGGTCACCATCATGGAATCTTGTGGACAGCCTGGAGTTGGGCCACAAACCGACCTTGCAGCTCTCTGTGTTGCAGCTCTGGGGTTGGGGCTCTCAGGTGTGAACAGAAACTTACAGGGGGATGGATGTTTCTGTTCCCAGAAGCAAGGGGATGCTTGGCGACTCCATCCCGCCAGGGAAGCAGCAGCAGTTGCAGCAGGAGCTTGCAGAACTGGTGAACATGGAGCACACCTTGGACCAGTTGATCGAGAGCTGTTCTCTGACCTTCAAACACCTGACTGAAGATGAGACCAACAAGCAATATCCATTTTGGTGGGGCAGGGAATAAACAGTCCCTGCAAGTTGTGGCTGTGGCTGCGCTGGGGGTGGGCAGGGGGCAGAATCCCTGTGGTCTGGTACAAGCTTATCTCTCCAGAGTTGAAGCAGTGATTCTCAGGGGGTCTGACTCACCCAAGGGATCTGGCACATCTGGTTTTGCTTCCTGTTTTTTGGCTTCTGCTCTTAAGGCTATTAAAGTTACTATCTCATAAAAATCCAGCAAATGCCTTTCTTTAAATCTGGAAAATGGAGAAAAGGAGGAAATACTGACTGGACACCATCACACAGCCATTACTGTACACAGTGGGTGTGTGATTGAAATATAACTATGGTTATAAAGTCCGTGGTACACAAGATTTTAGATCCTGCTTTTCTCCACTTACTAGATCACCACAAATACTGTTGGGTTTTTTTTTTTATGTTGTTACAAAGCCCACAAACATATGAAATAGCTGACCTGTAACCAGTTTTTACCTACACAAAAGGCAGGTGGTTCAGGCTTTTACTGAAAATTATTTGAGACCGTCTTTCTCAGACTTTGCTTTATTAGACTTATCACAAACATTTTGATTGTTTTCTAGATTTTTTAAATTCTTATAAACCACTTTGTAGTGACAGCTTTTGTATATAGAACATTTTCCTGTGTATCTTTTCAAGTTCCCTGAGCTGCATCCTAGGGAACTCTGAGTTCCCTCTGAGTTGCACTGAGAATCTAATGGCAAGTAGTTCAAATCTATTGGCTGCTCCTCAGGAGGAAGCCGAGCGGTTTCCTCCCATGTGATTTAGAGCCTCTGAAAACCTGCTGGAGGGTCAGCTAGGAGTCGGTGAGTCAGTCTTGACTTGATAGCAATGAGTGAGAGTAAGTATGCTGGATTCCTAGGATTGAAATGATGAGATCAGTTTTATAAATGAAACATTTTCTTGCCCAATAATGATTTTGTTTCTAATCTGAGAGAAGAGGTCTTTATATAAAAGGCAGCATTATTTTTGTCACTTGTACCCCATTTGTTTTCTAAAGGAATCTGAGGTAGCTTATGACATTATAAGAACAGGTTACAGATTTTCATTTTTTTAAACTGGGCTTTGGAGGGTTGGGTTAGTGCCCTGCCTAGTGGACTGAGAACTTGGATTTTGTGCTGACAGTCAACTTTTCTTGACTCTCCTTTGCCTACTCTGGCCTATGTAACTTACCGAGACCTGCAGTCTCTTGACAACTTTAAAGATCAGACGGTGATTGCCATCAAGGCTCCTCCACAGACGAGGCTGGAAGTGCCCGGCAAGAACCAGGTGAGAGGGGGAACACTGGGGGAGAGCAGGTCTGGAACCTCTGTCCCAGAGCCGCTTGGGCACTGCCCAGATCCAAGCTATTTGGGTCTATTCTGGTGCCCGTGACAACATTAGTGGGCAGAAATGACGACACCTGGAAAGGGCAATAGGCCTGAGAAAATCTCTGTTCCTAGTCTTTTTCTGAGCCCCATCAGCCACTGCATTTACACACATGGATACTGAGGTGTTGATAACTTACGGTAACATGTTTATGTTGACCATTACTCTTTGGTTATTGTTAGCTGCCATGGAATTCTTTCTTACTCATGGAGAAATACGCAGAACAGAATCGCTTCATAGGGCTTCCAAGGCGGCAACCTTTTAGTAGCAAATTGCCAGGCCTTTCTTCCTCTGAGTGGGTTCAAACTGCTAATCATTCAGCTAATAGTCAAACACTTAATACTTGTGCCACCCAACTCTTTTAGATTAAAGATGAAAATTATTATTTTTTAAAATTTTTTATTGTAATTTGAATGAAAATTTACTGAACACGTTGGTTTTCCACTCAACATTTTATACAGTTTATGTCCTGTGACTCTGATTATAATCCCCACATTGTAATTGCACTTCCCTTACTTCCTCCCTTGTTGCCCATTTCCATACACTCTTCCTTCTTTTCCCTTCTTACCTTCTCAGCCTTATCCTCGGCAAATGCTGCACAGTTGATTGTTGATACCGCCCAGTTGATGGTTCTGAGGAGTATCTTCCTCCCTTGTATTACTGGTCATCCTGTAGACCTTCTGTTGTGTGACTGAAAGTTGAATCACAGTGTAATTGAAATTTCAAGTTCACAGGGTAACCAAGTCTTGGGGTTCCACCAGTCTTAAACCATTAAACCTGGTGGGGTTTTTTGTTTTGTTTTGGTTTCTTGTTTGTTTTCATGATCTTGAGTGAGTTTTGTTGCACATTTTTTCTCCCATACCATCAAGAACCTGAAAATCTAAATCCTTAAAGCTTCCCATGAGGCCTTGGTATCCTGACCCCAAATGACCTCACCAGGCTTCTCTTCCACCTTCACTCCTTGTTTTCTTCAGCCACACTAACCCTGTTTGCAGCTTTTTTCCACACTATACTCATCCCTGTAGGAGAGCACTGGTAGTTAAGTGGTAAAATTCTTACCTTCCACACAGTAGACACAGGTTCATTTCCTGGCCAGTGCACCTCAGGTATAGTCAGTCACCACTCATCTGTCAGTGGAGGCTTGGCTGTTGCTGTAATGATCAACATGTTTCAGCAGTGCTCCCAGATTAAGACTAAGAAGAAAGACCTGGCTACCTACTTAAAAATAATCAAGGAAAACCCTTACAGATCCTAACAGTGTGATCCTGTAGTGCATGGAATTAGTTGCCTTGAGCTGGATGTTGACTCTATGGCAGCTAACAACAACAGACACATCTCCAATGTGAGACATTCACTTGTGCAGCTGAAACGCTCTCTCTTCCCTCTCTCTGCCTGATTACTGCTATTCCTCCTACAAGTCTTTTTTTTTTAATTTTTAATTTTTTTATTTTATTATTTGTGTGTGTGTACTGTCAAATCAGATCTGACTGGTACAGGAGATTGCCCCTCCTTCCCCGGTAGAGCATCTGGTGGATTCTCTGGGATTACAAGTCTTAACCTGAATGGTACTTCCTCAAGGAAATCTTCCTTAGTCATCTCCAGATGACATAACCTACCTGTGCTTTTCCAGTGCATTCAACTGCCTCCACTTGCTTGTTCTATCTGGATGATTCCATGATTGTGTTCTGCTTAGGTGTTAGCACCTGAGCTTCATAAAAGAATGTCCAGCCCACGTTGAACCCAGGGCCTGGCACATAATAAAGAGCTCAAGAAATTTTGTGGGCTAAGAAGTAGGGCTGCAGAGATAAACCTTTGCCTCTGCCTTGGTCTTGGAAGAATTCAGCATGAAGTGGATGAAAAAAAGATCTAAGTAGACTATGATGTTATTTATAGATAGAAGATGTGCTTGGGGAAAATAAGGGAAAGGACAGTGGGAGAAAGTATCCACAGGTGGTGACATTTAAACTTGGTCTTAAAGAATGGTTAGGATTTTTTTCCACAGGTGAAGTGAAGATAAGCAGAGGGTGCCTGGTGAGCAAAGAATGGAGTCTTTAAAACATGCTAGAATGGGGTTTGTTAACTAGGATGACTTAAGTTTTGGGTATATGGCTGGGAAAAGGCAGAGATGAAAAGGCCAAGTATCAGGATTCAAGGTTACAAATAACAAAGCCAAGTTCAATTGACTTCAGCAGGGAAAGAGGAAAAAAACAAAGGACAAGGACAAGGAAAACATTTGAAGGTTTCAGGCAAATCTGGATTCAGGAACTCAATCTGACTTCAATGTCTGTCTCCCACTCTTTCTGTCACTCTGCTTTCCTCCATGCTGTATTCAACTTTCCCCTTGCAGTGACAGAGATGGGCTCTGTGCTATCACTTCAGCAACCCTGCTGGGAAGGCAGCTTCTCTTTCCACAAGTCCAGCAAGAGCCCTGGGCCAAATGCTTACTAGAGTTGTATCATGTGCCACTATGAACCATTCACTGTGACATCACACTGTCACCCATCAGGGCTAGGCAAAGATACTGGTCCCATCCAAACTATATGACCAGAGAATGCAGAAGTAGTTTCCCAAAGGAAAAGCAAGTCTCTCTTTCAAAAAGGAGACTTGAGATGTGACAGGCAAAAACAGCAGACATCCACTATAAACCAGACAGGGCAGGATTCTGTGCCCAGCTGAAGGACTTGAGCTTGCTCACATAGGCCAGCCACACACCCTTACCCTTGACCTGCTTTCTCTTCCTCCAGGAGAATCTGCAGATATATCTGAAGAGCGTCCAAGGACCCATTGAAGTCTACCTGTGCCCAGAGGACGTACAGGAGTCAGACAAGCCTCCCCAGAAGACAGATAGTCCTCCCCAGGAGCCAGACAACCCTCCCCAGGAGCCAGACAAGCCTCCCCAGAAGACAGACAGTCCTCTCCGGACGATAGACAGTCCTCTCCGGAAGATAGACAGTCCTCTCCGGAAGATAGA